ATTGTTTTGAATACTCTTTTTTGGATCTTGATTTACTATATTCTGGTTCTGCTTCTTCTTCTTTTGTTAATAGCTTGCTTCCTTGTTTTTTATCTTTGGTCATGATTTATCTACTAATTTCCCGTTTGTAAAGAAGTTTATATCTTCCTTTTCAAATATTTTATGAAAACAATTCTATATTATGTTTAAGACAAGCTTGATATATATCTTGGCTTCTTTATTTAATTATAAAGACTTCTGTATCTTTTCGATTATATCTTTTTGAACCAGGCCTTTAATTGTCTTAGATCTTACTTCATAAGATTTAACTTTGGATTCTCCCAGAGTGTTCTTTCTAAAAGGTTCTTGTCAGTTCTTCTTTTAGTTTTTTCTAGTAGAGCTATCTAGGCTAGCTTGCTACAAGGTTTTTAGCAGTTTTTTAATTAGTCTCTTGTTCTTTACAATATGCCAAATGATCTTGATTTTTCTCTTTTTTCTCTTTACAAACAATACAACTTGAATCTTAATATAAATCTGGGTATCTCTGTGATAATATTCTAAGTATTGAGAATATCTTGTTAATATACTTGAACAGAGTTTTAAAGTATTTGCCTTTCTTCATTGTTGTATATCTAATAATATTACTTTTCTTAATTTTTTTCTATAAATAAGTCTAGTTGTTTTCTTTATAGGTTTCTTCTAGTTTAACTCTTTAGATTGTTTTGATTCTTTCTAGTCCATACTAATCTTAAAGTTGAGTAGTGTTTTGGTTATTTCTCTTGCCAGATGTTTAATGAATATCTTGTTCCAGAAAAATAAAACATTAGATCTAAATAGGAGTTAAAAATGATACTATATTTATTGTCTACCGTAGTACTTTTTTTAGTTAAACTATCTGCTCTGTTGTTCTATCTGTTATTACTATGATCTTTTATCTTAACTAATTCTAATTGAATCTTCTTTATCTTAACTAATTCTACAATATTACATACTAGATCATGATTTTTTAATTTTAACCATTGTTTGTTTATTATAATATTCCTTCTTTTCTCTATATCTGCAATTGCAGCTACACTTTTCATATAAATTTTAGCTGCTTTTCTACTTGGTATTGCTAGTATTGCAAACCAGATTGCTAACAATTCTGGTTTAATCAATAATGGCCAATTTTAAGTTTTTGTAAAACTTTTTTTAATTAATTATTGTTTGTCTTGATCTGTTTGCAATATTCTTATTCTTATATAGTCAAGGCCTTTTTTCTTGCCTTTGGTTGGGTATAATAAATGTTCATATAGAAAATTAACTTTTTTTGTAAAAGTGAAAATTGTTCTGGTTCTATTCTACTAGGTTGTCTCTAAGCTTAGAAGATATATCTTGCTTTTGAATTATCTCTATATCTAAATTGTAGCTTACAACACCTGTAACTTGAGATTCTTCTTTTGTAATTCTTACTTTTTTTCCACTATGGTGAAGCTCAATTGTGTTTAATAGGATTTCTAGTCTCTATTTATTTTCTCTTTTTCTAACAAAAGCTGAAAGAAACCCTTGAATTTCACTTTTATAATAAAGTTTCTTACATTTTTCAAATGCTTTGTTCTGGTTAAGTATACAGCCAGGACATTTTTTAATATTCTACTAGTATCTTTTTAGAGGTTTTTGAAGCTACTTTGCAATTATTAGTTCTGGGTTCTCTTGATTTATTGCTATGTTAATGACTACTTATTCTTTAGTTCTGTTATCCAAGAATAGTCTTGCTAACTGAGCTTTTAAAACCTAACTATTATTGCTTTCAGTTTTATATTAGGTTTTAACTTGTCTGCTTTGTGAGTTTATTAGTATTAATTTTTCTGTCTTTTTGAACCATTTTGCAACTCTGCCTTTGCTTGTCTCTTTTCTAAAAAACTTGAGTTGTTGCTATATTATCATTTAGTCTCTACCTTGATTCAATAGTTAGTTTATATACACTAACTTCAATTTCTTCAGACAGTGAGATACTGATGCTATAAATGATAATCTTAGAATACCACAGAGTCTTCGATTTAAGTTGTATTCTGAAAGTTTAAAAGAATTAAATTTGAAGGTAAGGTTTAGCTTTTTTGCTTTTAGTATCATAAATATACTAAATTGTTTTTTCAGATTTTATATATGCTTTGAGAATTTCTTTGTGCTAATTATTTTCTAATATATTAACAAGATTAAGACTTTCTTCAATTCTTAGTTTTGTCAAAACTTTTTCTGGCTTAGTCAAGTTAAAACGATTGTTCAAACTTGTGATTTGTTTAAATAAGAACTAGTTTTGCAAAGATCTGTAATTGCCTATATTTCTGTAATATATCATACTATTTTTTGCTAATACCACAATTTTGATCTTGTTTTTTGCAAGTTTAATTATTGGATTATGCATATTGTTAATCATCTTCTTACTTATTTTTGATATTTACAACATATAACACAACTTGAAAATTATGTATATGTTGTTTATATAAGATACTTAACTAATTGTTATTTTTTTCATAAAAAGATTTTAGCTATTAACTGCATAATTCCTTTTTGCTTTGATCTTAATAGCTGTCTCTTTCATTTTACTGTTCAGCCAGATTTTCAAAAATCTTAGAATCTTTATTTCTTTTTTTTTTCTGAATCTACTTGTTTCCAAAAAAGATCTTCTTAACTTTGTTCTTGTTTATTGTAATTAACTTTGTTTTCTTTCTATTAATCTGTATATTATTTATTCTAAGAACTCTTCTACAATCATAAGTGTTTCCTCTATCTGCTCTTTGCTTTTTGCAATTTATATAGTGTTATCTGCGAATGCAACTACTACTTGTCTCTATGAATCTCTGTTTGTATAGTTTAAGCTTTGATTACTGTAGTCTATAGTATAGTCTAAACTAGTATTTTCTTGAATTCTTTCCAGAAAATGATTGTAAAATATTCTTAAAATTAGAGGTAAAATTATTTTCTCTTGTTTAATCTCTTTTTAAATCTCACAGAATTTTGTTGAACTTAGATCTATGATGATTCTGGATTGTCTATTTACAAAAAGATTTAATAAAAGTTTAATTGTGACTTTAGATAGTTTGATTCTTTTTAATACTTTTTGTAAAGCTTTAAGTAATACTGAATCAAATATCTTCTTCATATCTTGAAGTATAATCTACAGCTCCTTTTTGTTATCTTTTGTATCCTCTATAATTGCATTAAGAGTGTGTATAGGCTTCTCTGTGAAATTATCTGAAAAATCTGCAAAGTTAGGATTCCTTAATATATTCTTTCTAAACAGAATTTCTGCAAGTCTTTTCATACCGTATTTTCACGAAATAATACCTATTTGCATATTATTTTGAGTATATGCACATTAATTAGAGTATACGTATAAGCATTATTTTGAAGTAAATTTTGATTTTTTAATAAACCTAATTTTCTAAATAATGCCTATATGCATTATATATAAATAATTATATGGTAACAAGTTTCTTTTACCAAAGTTAATATTATAGCAGCACATAGAAATAGCATTAACTTTATTAAAAAAAATAGAAATCGATATTTTTCTTCATTTATCAATATTGTATACTTAGATAATTATTTGACAAAATATATACTAAAAATCAGTGTGAAAAAGTAATCAGTTGAAGAAGAGAATAATCGATTAGATGCAAATTCATCATATGAATTTATTTAGCTGTCAAGTTTGTAATTCTTTTTTTCTTTTTTAGATTTTATTTCTAATTTGCATATCTTACAGCTATCTAAAAAATTTTTTATTTGTTACAAAATAGATATGATTTTATCAATTAATTTATAAAGAGTGTAATACAATTTGGAAAATATATAGGTCACTAAATTGATATAAATAAATTGAATCTAATATAAGATTTAAGAGTAAAATAACTATTAAAAATTGCATCTTGTCTAAACTAATAATTAAATATGATAAGCAGCGAAATACTAATTATTAATAAAGAAATATTCTTATTTAAATCAATTCATATATCTTGTAAAAAATTAAAATATTTTGTAAATCTAGATAAAAGACTAACTAAAAAGCCATACTTTACAGAAATCTGTTTTTTACTTAATATAATTAAAATATTTTTATTATATTTTTAAAATATTTTAAAATTAAAATACAATATAAATATTATAAAAATATATTAAAAATATATTAAAAATATTGTAAAAATATTTTTTTATTTATGTTATCTTAATAATATCTAAGTTGTTAAAATATATTTAAAATATTTTAAAAATATATTAATATAATTTTTTAAAAAAATTTAATATAATTATTATATAATAAGGCAAAATTACAATAGTGACCTATCGCTATAGTGACTCTATATGATCAGCCAATCATATTTAAGATTGGTGATCATATAAGTAGATCATATAATTGTTTTTTTTGTTTTCACTTCTCAACAGGCTTTTTGACAAGCTTTTCATTTCACTTTGGCAGGTTTGTAATTTTTTTTTTTTTTTTACTTTTAAAACTAACAATTTTTTTTTCTTTGTCAGTTTATTTTATTATTTATTTTATTTTTTTTTTTACATTTTTTCATTTTTTTTTTATTTCTTTTTTAATCTTTTTTTTATTTTTTTCACCATTTCTTTTCTTCTCCTTTACTCTTTATTCCTTTTGTTTCTTTTTCTTTGTTTTTTTTTCATTTTTCTTCCCTTTTCATTATTTTTTTTATTTTCTTTTTCTCTCTTTTTTTATGTTCTTCATTTTTATTTTTTTTTTATTTCTTTGTTCTTTATTCCTTTCGTTTCTTCTCTTTTTTTTTCTTTTTTGTTTCTCTGTTTTTGTTCTTTTTTCTCTTTGTTTCTTCTGTTTTTCTTTCCTTTTTCATTTTTTTGTTTTGTTTTTTTTCCTTTTGTTTTTTCTCTTTTTCTTCCCTTTTTCATTTCTTTGTCTTTGTTCTTTTTTTCTTTCTTTTTCTTCTCTTTTTCATTTCTTTGTCTTGTTTTTTTTCCCTTTCGTTTCTACTCTTTTTCTTCCTTTTTTTGTTTTTTTGTCTTTATTCTTTTTTCTCTTCGTTTCTTCTCTTTTTCTTCCTTTTTGCATTTTTTGTCTTGTTTTTTTCTCTTTCATTTTTTCTCTTTTTCTTTCTTTCTTCGTTTCTTTGTCTTTGTTCTTTTTTCTTCTTTTTTTCTTTTTTTCTTCCCTTTTTCATTTCTTTATCTTGTTTTTTTTCTCTTTGTTTCTTCTTCTTTTTCATTTCTTTCTTCTTTTTCATTACTTTTTTTTACTTTATTCATTTCCTTGCCATTCTTTTATTCATTTTTTTTTTTGTTTCTTCTCTTCATTCTTCTTATTTTTTCATTATTTCTTTTGTTTCTTTTTTTTTTTTTTTTTTTTTTTTTTTTTTTTTTTTTTTTTTTTTTTTT